GGGTGAAACCCACCACGGAGATGTCATTATTGGAGCCGATGGGGCATCTGGCTTGGTCCGAAAATACTTGATAAGAGAGGAGTCCAAGAAAGATGGCATGGATGGTGTTCCTAGCGGTCTCTCAGTCTACAGGTACGCACAAACATCGTATACACTCATGTTCTGTCATCGAAATTATTTGTAGCGCTGTTATTCCGAAGGAACTTGCAGTCGAAGATGAGGAACTCGCCAGCCTTTATGAATATCCACAAGTAAGTCCTTCCCGTCCTAGGTGAGGACTGTTCAATATCTGTCATACAGCGCAATATGGTGACATTGTTGATGGGTAATAATCGAGGTGTGGGAACTTGAAGGCTTATTTCATTTTGCAACGAACTTTCACGCTTCGTCAGGTGCAAAAGTGTTTCTTGCGGTACGAGAGAATTACTTTTCTAGCTCCCTATCTAACTGGGACGATCTGAATAGGGGAAGGAACAAGATGTATTGCTCTGGCTATATACCCCAGATAACTCACACGATGGATCCTGGAATCGGGAAGCCGAGACCGACATATGTAAAGTGGTTGGACTATGCGATCCCCTGTCAGTAGCCCGCTACCTCGTTTGTCCGTGTGACCTGACAACTGTGCAGAATACAGAAATTGGCAGCTCATGCAGGGCCATCGACCTGTATTCAGATTAAAGACAGATACGAGTTAGACTCATGGGTGTCGAAAAGCGGAAATATTCTAGTCATAGGTGAAGCAGCCCATCCTTTTCCGGTGAGGAAAAAAACACGATACTCTTGAATGAGTTGAACTAACAATGGGCAGCCGATATCCTTGCACAACGGTTCCATCGCCATAGAAGATGGCGCTTTCCTTGGCAGAATCTTCTCGCATACCCGAAATCCTGATCGCATACGCGAGTTTTTATATGCATTCGAAGAGACTCGGTGGGTCCCGCCGATGCGTTCGTTACGTTTTATCCTCAGCTTGGACAATTTGCAGGAAACCCCGCTGTGCTTATATCCTCCAATCCGAAAACCGCAATGTAAACTTCATCACCCTTCCTCATGGTGAGAGTCAGGCTGCGCGCGACGCTTCGATGCGTGCCAATCACGCAGCCGGGCGGAATGTAATGGACGCGCCGGAAGCGGATATGCAGCACATTTGGGACGACATGCGTACGGTGTAAGAAAGTTGTCCCCTTTTATGTAATGCCTAACTAAGCTCCTCTAGGTTTGGGTATGATCCTAGAGACGCCGCAGATGAGTGGTGGGTCTCGTGGGGTAGGTATGGGAGGCAAGAGGAAGATCTGGAGGAAATAAATCTGGTTCATGAAAAGAAGGGCAGTGATGACTCTTCGAAGTTTCGTTATGGATATTGCTACGTGTAAGTTACTAACGTACACGTAGCAATATCTAGTATCGTAGCGGTTTGATTGTATACATAGCATATATGCGACGTTGCGTATGTAGTATGGAAACCGCTTGCTCCTTAATGGGACCGTGGTGGAGTATACCTACTAAAGTTTCCAATTCATCGATCGTTCCCACGGTTCGATTTTCCGATTCAATTATGGTTGGCTCCCGAACTTGAACTATGAATGACCCATACAGATATATACCGGAATCCTCGTCTTGTCTCATCTCTCTCGTTTGAATTAAGTGATCTAGCTCAGCATATTACTGCTCGGTAAGTACCCAACCCACTGCTAACATGTTACGCTTGGCTGGATATTCGGCGGAGCGTTGCACGCCGTTGTGGCTGGGCACGCATCTTACATGTTATTTATCCCCGGTAAGATGGGATGGTAGGTCTCACCCGAGGCCAAGACAAACGTTTGTCGGTCAGGATTTATCGAAGCTAGCTTTCAGCAATTTGCATTCGATCTAAAGTACTCATATCTTCGACAGTTCTGGTACCAAAAGTTGAACTACCCTTATACGAGGATTTCCCGAACCCTCAAGCACGCACTAGCAGATATCAATAGAATTTCCGCCGAAATTCGAGCATGGTGCGAGAATCTTCAAAATGAAAGTGTACACACACATGTGCGCTGAATAAATTGATACTGTATTATTTCAATCAGTTCGACCTAGGACCTGAAGCGTGACACAAAATACTGATTCAACCATTCGAACACGACCGAAATTTCGGGTGACAAAACCGACCACAACACCCTGAGTGTTTTGCTCGAGCAGCACGAATTAATCAAGCATGCATTCTTGCTTGAATGCAGAACAGTATACATATTAGTCATGCTCCAGTGCCTGCCAATGTGCAAGGACCGCACAAGGATTTAATGAGAGGCACGAATTTGGCGTGCACGGACCACCCCACATTTGCCTTTGTTATCCTTCTTGTCGGAGTTAAAAAGTCTATCGGGCCCGTTGCAGTCTCTGCTTCGATTCATGACGCCTCGACCTTGACCTGCATTCCAGGGGACCCAACCTCTGGAATGCACCTCTTGAAATTTGGAGGCAACATTTACAAACCGTGGATCCACTGTTGGTATCCACGGCCTCTACGAGGACTTCACCCAATGCGAGGATCGTGCCGGGTTTTGGAGTAGTATAAGAGGCAAACATTTCCCTGATACTCACTGTTTGGAAATAATATGATGTAATTTGCAGATCATAGGCATGCACTTGGGTAGAATGAGGCGAAATAGAGTAGCGGAAAAAGCTCGGCAGTGAGCCGTGGTTCGGACTGGCGGATGGCAGGCGGTTCGTCCACGCGGAGTCGACTTTCTTTTCCAAGTTCGGCGTTTCTCAGCAGGATGCGAGGGACGACTGAGCACGACAGAAAACTGCTTCAGGTCGAAGACTGTGGCAGAGGACAAGGCAAAGCAACAACCGGCGTCGGGCCGGTAAAGCCGAGAAAAATGTTGTTCGGAACTTGTCTGGAACAGTCACCCCCAAACCATCGTCGAGCCCCACTGCATGTCGACTCAATTCCCATTCGGACCACCCGCGCGGCACAGATGCATCAACTTGAAGGGCGGGGTGTAAGGATGTGGCATTCAAGTGGCATTTAGCTATAACACACGGGCCGACGGCTGCTAATATATTCGACGGCGCACCCACCAGTGGCTCACGCAAGCAAACGACTTGACCAGTGGGGCGCACGTTCGTCAAAATTGCGCCCCGAGCCCAACCAAAGTCAGTCCCACGCAGAGACCTGCGAACCGAAGAAGCAAAGCACCGTGACTGATCGCATTTGCTCTTGTCTTCCCGCCGCCATCGAGAAAGTGGGCCAATTCGCTGCTCTCGACTCTCTTCAAAACAAACGATTACATTTAGGAATCATCATGCAAGAACCTAAGAGCGGCGGGGAATGCGACTTCGGAATGTGTCCGCTACAGGACTACGACTCCGACGAAAATGCATCCACGAGAGAACCTCTAATGAGGTGTTCAATGTGCAAGAACCGGTTCTATTGCGTATGTTTTACTCTCTGAACTTCCTTGGATGTAATCTCACTACCAATCTAAAATCTAGAGCGCAAAGTGTCAGAAAAAGGACTGGAAAGAACACAAGTGGAACTGCTCCGTTTTCCCCTCAGCGGATGGGTTTCCTGCCGCGACCGTCATCGAGATCGACGATGAGTTCCAAGCAGAGGTCAAACGCGTGGTCGGTATCCTGAAAGAGGTGGCAGATACGTTGAAGGACGAGAAGAAGTTGTCTGCGCCGATGCTAGCTCCGCTCCCTAGTGCGTCGTTCTCTATATCTCACGGGTGTCTCATTTGAACTTTGCACTTAGAAATCACGTCTGAGCTTCCTGAACATCTCCGATACGCGCGCGCGATACAGGACAGCGACGAGTTCAAATATCGTCTCCCAATCGTCGCGGCCTGCAGACTGCTCCTCATCGACTATATTTCTACACTCGATGAAACAGACCGCAAGAGATACGAAGAGTTCTTCACGTCGATGGAGCTCCCGATGGACTGCTGTGAGATGTATGGCCCGAAGATCGTGGGACGGCCGGCAGACCTGAGCCCCGGTGAATACGCGATGATCTCGCAGGTGATGCCTATGTGGATCATCTCTCAGATAGGCACAGTCAAGGCGGAGAGGAAGGAACAAATGGGTGAAGAAGCGGTGGAGGGGGACGTGGAAGAGCGGAAAAAGGGAATGCAGTGGGTTTGGCTCGCGGTGATGTCGAAAAAGGCGTATAGTGCCAAGTCAAAGCCTGCCGTATCCTCCGCTTCGACATAGGAGTTCAATCGTCACGTTTGTTCGGTACTTTTCTTGGTTTGAGGTACGTCTTTCTCATTGGCTGTCATTTGCGGGTAATCTGAGCTCCAAATTTTCCAGTTCTATACATCTCTGCTGCTGAATCTGCACCTATTCTTGTTGCCGCTTCTTGTATCAATATTTTTTTCCGATGTATCTCCTGCAAATTCAAAAGTATGCGGGGATGCGTCCTCAGCTTCGATGTCGAACCAGTGGGTCCGCTGCGTAAATCGCGAGCTCTTCACGGTGGATCCCCATTTTTATTTCTCGCCTTCTTTCCATGGTCCGAGCTACATATGTGTGGTGTATTTGTATCACTGATGTGGCGCCGAGTCGGATTGGTTCGCAGCCATCCTCACCACCAACCACCATTCGGATGAATGACTCCGATGAGGCTTATGTGCCGGAGGATGGAATCGACGACGGAGGCTCCACAGATGGTTCGGAAGACGACGGGGATTCGGACTCGGAGAATACGAATTCCCACGATGAGACTTTTCCCTCTCGAAGCCCCCCGTTTCAAGAACGATAAAAATGGCTCTAAACTTGACGCATATTAGGCAGTTACCAGTGGAAATAGGCGTGCAATCGCGTGTTATTTGAATGGCCGAGCTCCTTTCATGTGGACAGTTCTTGGATCATGTCCTGGGAAGCTTCTAGCTGAGTTGAAGTTGTCCGAGTTGTGTATTCCGAAGAATCGGCGCGATCAATTAGGGTCTGTAAACAGTCAGTTCAGGGGACGTTAAGTCAGGGAAAAAAGTATCCAAGAAATTGAACAGTGGCCAGGCCTTGAGTCGAACAAGGAGTTTCCTCTGAAATTCAAGAAAGGTTTGAATCAAGATGATGTGTTACCGTTACACCACCCAGCCACATTTCCTGTCTGTCTCAACGATGTATTGACTGGAATTCCTAACTTGCTGTAAGCCCTTCTGACATTTCCAACGAAGCTACTCTACAATTGGAAAGCCAACAAAAAGTAAATTTAGGATACAACCACGTGTTGCTAAGCTACGTTCAAAATTCAACCATGAACCCAATTCAAGTTTGCGCGATCGCGGCTGAGGAAGTCAAAAGGCAACAGAATGCAAGCGAGCATTGTGCTGCCTACGATCTCTAGATTGGAGGAATAAATCTTGCTTCAAGCAAAATAAAATAAAATTGTGAAGATCCGACACAGACGCTAAGATTTAGCTGGGCATTCTCGCGGATACGTCTATCGGCGTCTCAGATTACCTCTGAAGCAACATCGTGCATCTCGGTCCAAGCAGGACGAATTTTCACGCAAATTAAGTGGCGATGATTCCTTTCACAAAATATGAACTTGAACTGTGGGAATTCAACCATGGCTAGCATCGGATTGGTAGCTTTTGCTGAGAACAATTAAATAATTTGAGGTCCTTTCTTCTACTTCGTTTGAGTTTGATTCGTTCGCGCGAGAAAATAATAGAAAGGGAAGTCACAAAAGATGCAAAAGCAAATGGCTGAGCCTAACGGCTCTCGAGTGGAGATTACGTGGAGTACGCGGAGGTATACACATCCAGTGGGAACAGCGCGAATGTCAGATGGACGCATCAAGTTGAAGTTGCCGGTCAATGCACCAAATATTTCGCGACGCGTCAATATCGATGTGCGACACGAAACGACACGGAATACTATGAATAGCGCACGTCACATAAATTTCGGAGGCGGCCCAGGAAATTTGAAAGCGCTGCGGAGTCCAAGACCGGCGTGGGGTCCCAAGTCAGCTGGCGCACGGGGTTGTGCTCGCTCACACACGGCCGCACTAAGGACGGCTATGTACAGCGCACTAAGGACGCCTCGGGCCGTAGTAATCAATTCTGCGTTAGGGCGGTCTAAGCGTAAGTGAAACGAAGGATGTGCAAAGCAAAGGGAGGATAAAGTAAAGGCGGGTTTTTGATCGCCGGTACCTTGCTTCTGTGGGGGTAACCAGCTGGTCATTACTTAAGTTCACTTTGTGTAACACAATATGGACGGGGCTTCGTGAGGTTGTAGGATTACGGCTTCGAGAGAGTTCTCAATCTCGGGAGGGGGACGTTGCATGAAATGGGTACTAACCTTGTCATTGTGCTCTGTCTTGTAAGTACAAAGCAACCTTGTCCCTTCCCCGGCTACCGTGCGCGCACCGTCCGAGTGAAGCGGACTGCCGTCCTGACGCCGGGATCGGATGCCGCAGCGCGTCAGGACTCACCGATGAATGTCAGCGATGAAGATGCACTGGCTTTGGCGGTGGTGACCGCATCCCGCAGATGTGTATGCAAATTTACAGTCGGGCAGAATGCGCCTTGCGCCTCCTGGCCCGTACTTGGAATTGCAACATTAATTGTGCAGCTAAGACGGGATTGATCTGACGCTCTCCGTGAACGAACGCCGGCGATCAAACCCCCATCCTTCGTTCGTCCCTCTCTGGAGTAATTAGCTAGTCATTAAATTCACGCAATCACGGTCTGTGAGGTTAAAACATGCGTTGTCGAAGGAGGGAGGGCTTCGCAAGGGGAGGCGAAACCTTGTCTGTGTGAATAGATACAGAGTAATCTTGATGAGCATTTGCCAGTACCAGAACGTCAACAAGAACGAGCTTCTGCACTGACTGTAGCTCGGCGTCTTGTAACGAATTGGATTTGAGTAGCACATCATCGCTGGGTCGGATCGCGCTCCCGCACTGCAAAGGGAATAAAATCAGACGCGATCGAGATTCGATTTCAATGTTGAAATTCGGCCTTCTCGGTGATGTGAGTCACCGTATGTACTGCAGTTACAAAAGCTACCATAGCGGTCGTTTGCTTAAAATACACACACCTCAGTAGAAAGGGATATCCTTGAACTGGAAGTCAGCTAAAATCGCGTTGCGTGCGAATAGCCTGGACCATAATCAACTCAATCGCGATGTACGAGAGAATGATTGCAGCTCAGCACCAGTGACCGCATGCCTCTCCTTCGCGAAGCTGGGGTGACCTCGAGGACCGGAACCGGTGTGGAATCTGGAGGGACGCAACGAGCCTGTGGCGAAATGCGCGCCATGCCAGCGGCCGTTGCAATTGTGATACCAAAGGCCAGCTGTATCCGAGGGAATCCGCAACAGGTGGACGGCGGCGCCTGAGCTTCGATCTAGGAAGTGCGGATCCCAAGTGCGCAGCAGACAGCTCAGCAGGTACAGTCATTGAAGGATAATTATATCCCTAGTTCAACGGGTTCTAGAGTCCGACCGACAGTTGCAGCAGGTACGAGATTCAACCCTCCGCGAAAGTAAACGCCATATGTGGATCTTTCACCATCAGATTATTTTGCCTCCAGTAGTTTTAGCTGAATTCAGGTTGTCAACTACTTATTAGCGTATTCTGCCTGCGATCAGTTAGGCCTCGGAACATACGGAAAACAAGCGGATTGAATTAAAAGACACGAGGCAGAAGTAGCATCGGCGTCCAGAGAAATCTGCGTGGTTTTTTGGTTGTATTTTATCTAGTTCAGTTCCAGTCCAGTTCAATTGTGGTTCCGCATCCCGTAGTACACGTGTTCCGGATTGAACGCAACGCGACGCCAGATGCCATGTTCATCCATCTTTGTGTGGAGCCAAGCCGCGCATCCGAAATTCCGAATCCAGATTGCCCCAGTCCCGGCTAGATCCAAATCAACGCGTGGGGATTGGGCATTGGGGGTCAGAAATAAACGCAACCAGTGGACGAGCTGAAAATAAACGTACGACGCAACCTCGGTTATGTCGGATAGGTGTGAATCTCTGAGGTCATCGCGGCGTCATGATCTGGGTGTTCGCGCACGGACCCTTGCGCGCCCCGCATGCGGCCAGGAGAACAGCATGGCGGGTCGTGGCAGACTGGCAGTCAACAAAAAAAAAAAAAAACGCGTTACAAAAAGGCTTACTTAGAAGAACCGGAGTTTTTGTCGACAACCGCGAAAAAAAGGTAGACTTGCGGACAGAATATCCGGAGAGGTCTAACGCAACCCACCCGCGGACGCCGTTCCTACCGCGATTCGCAACAGTGTCAGCAGTTGAAAAGATGTCTGCCCTGCCGAAAGAAGTTCAATGATGCCCCACACTCGAATTAAGGTCAGCGCCCGACATGTACGTACCGAATCATTGAAGACACTTGCGAGATCCCGCGCCGAAGGTACGGGACAGGAAGAGGAACATGACGAGCGGATGAGATCATCGCGCACTTCGCTTTCGAGCTTCAGCGTCCCGAAAAAGACGAACATTGAATTTGACCCTCCTCACTCAGCTTCCTCCCCGCCTAAATTTAACCAAGTCAATTTAACTATATACATAGTACACTGTATCTTTAATTCTTCTTCTTCCTTTCATTTCTTCCCCTAGTAAGTTTTCCTCCATCCCCGTAGCCGGAGTAAGTATGTGCTCGTAGGTAGGTGGTGTTATGCATGTCCCAGTACCTAGTGTACCAGTCCCAGTCCCAGTACTAGTGTACTAGTCCCTGCCGTGCCGGCGCGTGTATGTGGCCGGCGTCTATGTAAGTATGAGTGTTTTAGACCGATAAGTTGATAGTGGGTCGCCCGTTGATTGATGTTGCCCGATAGGAGTTAAAAAGTGTGTCGCTAAGTTATTTTGCTTTTGGATGCCGACAGAGAGAGATGAAAGGTGCAGGGAAAAAAAGGCGTGGCGGGGACGGATGGTGGATTGTGGCGGAAAGACCGGATAAAGAAACACCGAGGCCGAGCGCAGGGCGTATGAAATCCATGGAAGTTCCCGAGTCTCGTCCATCCCCGAACAGCGCCGGTCGTCAACCAGCTGTCACTGATGCAGCGTGACGCGACGCCGTTGTTAGCCGCTTTGCGTGTGCAAAACCACCGTGAGAGAGACGGGGTGATGCTACCGCCGAGGATGATGCGGAGAAAACACAGGACGGATGCTGACAACGGACGGAGAGCCGGGGAACGCGCCACGGTAAAGGCACGGTAGATCCAACAGGCAGGGCGGGCCCGTGCGGGCGGGTCCGGGCAGCAGCGACAGCACGATCCGGCATCGACCGCAGAGGGGTCCAGGCGGCTGTCCGACGTCGGACGATGGGCGAGGCATGTCTGGAAGCGAAGGCGAGGGGAAGGGTGATGCATCATGCAATGCGTCGCGTCGTCGAATTGAGATGCATCGAGAGGCAGCGCGAGGCAATGTACGAGTCGGCAACCTCCAGGCTAGGCGAAAGCGCGAGGTGACGACCAGGGACAAGGCACGCGAATGAATTGCAAGACGACGGCGACAGTGGCGGCAGCAGTGTTGAATGCCACCGAGGGCGAGATACGAAGGCGAAGGGAAGCCAGTGGACGCAGACGAGACGAGAACGAGAAGCAGCGAAGGCTGGACCCCGTCGTCGTCCAAGCACGGGCGAAACCGCGGCGCCCCAAACGAAAACACTTCGGAAAAACCGCCCAGGACCGCCCCGACCCTCCGAACACGCGTCCTCCGCGTGTGCGGTGTGGCGCGCCGTTTTGCGTCCGTGTGTGTGTCCCAGTCATGTTTCTCGCGTTCCTTAGTCGAGTCGAGTCGCGTGACTCCGAGGAGAGTTTCAGGCCGCGTCGCGTGAGGGTCTCGCTTCATCCAGGTCGTGTGCGTGTGCGTATGCGTGTAAAACCAGGTATCCCGCGAAAACCTAATTGCATTGCATTGCATCGACCCTGTCTCCCCGTCTGCGAGTATGCGCAGGTCCCGTGTCCGTGTTTCGAGTCGAATATCCTTGCAACGCGTCCAGTGCGTGATACGTGAAGCCTAGCCGCGAAGAGTGTCAGTGCTGTCGTATTGAATCCGCCAGGGCCAAGATCCGTCCGTCCGTCTGTCCGCGGGTGCGTGTCCTGCGGCACGAAGAAAAGACGATACGATGACGAT